TTTTCTATATGTCATGCTTGAAATAATTAGTACCATATATCTTGAGCATGTTTTATCCATTCTAAAATTTGAGAAGAATTTAGACCTGAGAGAGTTTGGAGGTTATATTGAGACTGTGAGTTGATGTCATCAATTTGTTAATTAATGTTGAAGATGTTATGAGTTTTACTACTGCTTTTAAGATTTTTAATAAGATGGCCAAGTTTTTTAAGTAATAGATAGAGTTGTGTGCTATGAGGAGTAAATCTATGATTATAACAGCATTTGTGGCTAATTTTATTAGAAATAATTGATATAGCACTATTTATAAGAGAATATTCAATTTTATGTCAAATAATGTTAATACTTTTACTAGTTTGTAAAGAGAGAGGTATATGATAATTGTTAAGCTTAGATAAAAGAAGTTTAGAAAACTCAGTCCAATTTTGAGAAGCTATAGCACTGTAATTAAATATACATGGCTTATGCCAATATGGAAGTGAGGTGGTTTACTGTATGTATTAGGGAATATCTATGATGTATTTAAGTATCAAGTGATTACTGCAAGTGCTAGTTTTACTAATATCAAGTGTATATGATAAGAGAAATTGAATATTAAATTGGTCAGTTCAAATATAGTCAATTCAACTAGATGAAGTATTGTTCGACCATATATGATAAGTATTATCAAAGTGGGCACCAATATCATATATATTAGAATGGTGTAGATAATTGATGAGTTTATATTTAGCTAAAGAGCTGTGAATGTTATTATGTTTATTGAAGTCACCAAGAACAATAGGATAGAGATTTTATTGTAGAACAAGTTGAATCCAATTGATTATAGTATCTTGGGTTGAGTTTCATTTTAACATATCGGTTGATGAGAGATATACAGAGATAATATGAAGTTTAATGTTACTTTTAAAAAATAGATTAATAGCTATAGCACCACCAGGATGTATAAAGCAGTTATGAATGTGAGGTTGAAGAAAGTTGTGTATTATAATAGCAGAACCTTCTGCAGAGCTGTTGGAGTTAGCCCAAAAGTATGTAAAGAGATTATTGTTGCAGAATGATAGATTAGGCTTATCAGAAATTTTAGTTTTAGTAATGCTGGCAATATGAATATTGTAATCAAGGCAGTAGTGTTACCAAGCTTCTCTTTTGGTAATTAAGTTAAAGCCTCAGATATTATGTGTTGTGATATTAAGATGTAGATCTCTAATTTGGTTAGGATGTTGATTGTAAGGGTTATCAATAAATTCTTGGTCTTTAGATGATATAAGTAAGGTGGATAGATTAGAAATATTTTGTTAGAGTCTTGTGAAAATATAAATAGATTAGAAGATAGAGACTCAAGTTCATTAGAACTTGATTCAGAAGCTACTGATGAAGAATAGATAGATGTAAAAATAGGTGTGTTGAATTGTAATTTAAGAGGAATTTCATATGAATCATTGGCAGATAGAGTATAATAGTTTTGGTAGTATATTGTGTTCTTGTGATAAGTATATATGTACTTCACTTTTATTATTATGAACAGTAATAAAAGTATGATCTGCTAAATAGTTAATATTGTTTTGTCATAAATGTTGTAAAAAAGAATTAAAAGTTTGTAGTTTTCTTAATAAAGGAAGTTGGTAATAAGTAAGAAATTTGTTATAACATATTTCCAAATCATAGAAGTTGGATGACATTAGTAATAATTTGGATAAATATCTTTCTGTAGATGCGCTCGCTGTTTTAAGCTTGGTTCTTACAGCTGCAAAGGGTTTCATAGTCTACTATGTATGTTTGTCTGACTGTCATTAGCCTAGTTCTCCATGTAAATAAACTTAACCACCCATCCACTTATATCATTCTCTTCTGAGAAAGGCCCATTAAAAGTAGAGAACATCATTATTTCAGAAGTAGTGGCTGCTTTAATGAAATCTACAGAAGGAGTTAATGAAAAGGACTATATGAAAGAGTAGTAATAAGTTAGAGTTTTTGTTGTAAATTTTTGTTAGAGTTAGAGTTTTTGTTGTCAGTAGTTTGATCATTTGTGTTAGTGGTGGAATCATCATTTGAGTCTGTTATAATGATATCATTATTTTTATTAAGTTTAGAAGGGAGAATTTGGTCTTTAATAGACTTAGATGAAGGAGTTTGATCAATAGTATCCTTTGATTGTTGTGAAGTAGAGAATTTAGGTGGACTAGTAATACCAGAGTAGAAGAAAATATTTGATAGTATTTTTGGTATTTTGAAGTTAATATTGAACTTTGTGTATATAATATCTTTTGCTTAAGAAAAAAATGTTTCTTTATAAACTTTTTTGATATATAAAATGAAAAGTTTATCTTCAGTTTTTAGGATATAGAAGTAGATAAGAACACAAATGAGATAGTTAGTTTTAATAGGCTTAGTAATGATTTTGTCAATTGCTTGTTAAATATAGAGATTGTTGATTTAATCATTTTTAGCAACGGCTTTAAGGAATGCATAAAGGTAGCTATAAAAATAGTAACTTTCATGAGATCAGTCAGTTTCAACTTTGTTTAGTTCAATAAATTTTTCTTCAGTCTCAGTAGTGAGTTTGCATAGAAAGGAGATTGGAGTACGTTTTTAGAAAGTTACAGCTTATTTTTTATCTTTATCAAATATTGAGAAGTCAAGGTCAGGATGTGTATATACAATTTTAGGTGTTGTATAAATAGTTTTAGAAGAAGCAGAAAAGTGGTTAAATGATTCTTTAAAGAAAAATACAGATAGGTTTTTAACATTATATTTAGTATTATTAAGAAGAGTGGTGCAGTTTTCAATAGTACAAATATGAAAGTGATAGAGAGCAGCTTTGAAATACAAAAAAGATTTTTTATGTAAAGAATTAATACTAGTAATAAAAAATTCTTTAGAAAGCAATACTTTACATATATTAGAGAGCTTAAGTCCAATTTGATATTTAATATGATTATATGTTTTTTGTTTGTCAATATTAGTAAATTGACGTTTGTAAACATCAAAGAATTTGTTAAACCAAGGCTCAAAGTCTGGTAGATATTTTTTAAGAGAGGGTATTTGAAAGGTTTCTAGAAAGTGTTTTTTTGGTATATTGAGTAAAATATTGATATTGAATTTGGAGTCATTTTGAATTTTAAATAGGATTAATTGATGCTATCCTTACTAATATAATAATGGAGCTTGAATCGAATTGGTGCAATGTTGAGATCTTCATAGAATTTGTTAAAGTTGATTGTTTTATATTTGTTGTGTAATATAAAATATAAACGAGCAAAGTTAAGTACTACTTGTTTTCTGTTAGAAATAGAGTATGCTGAAATGGAATTGTAGGAGGAGAAAAATTTAGAATTGTTAAGTTGTATAAATAGTGTAGTAGTAAACTGCTTAAATAATGCAATAAGAGTAGAAAGGAGAAGTTCAAAGGAAATTTCAATATCTGTATTAATTATAGAATTATTGCTATGAATAAATTTAGTAAAAAATTTAGGTTTTTTCTCTGTCAAAACTTTAATAAGATACATGTAGTTAAATTTAAGCTTTCATTGGTTATCTGAGGCTGATCTGATAACTTTGCCAGGGTACACATTGATAAGGTGTAGTTTGATAAAGTCAAATAGTTGATAGGTCATTAGAGTATTAAATTTGTTATTTAGCTCTATAGATGGAGTGACTGGATATTCTTTAAACCAATCTATATCATTGGTTGTATCTCACAAAGTTTGTTTTTGTTTTTGTTTTTGTTCACTAGTAAATTGATTTGTGTTAATTTTTTTAGAAAAAAATTTTTTGTAAAGTTCAACTTTGTCTTTTGCAAACATTAGAGAAAGTTTATAAAAGGCAATTATCTTTTTTTGGATGAGTTTGAGTAAAGATGTTGGTGAGATAAGCTTGAGTTTAATGTCAAGAAGTTGAGATGAACAAGTCCTATGAATTAGAGCATTCTTAAAAATAGCAGCGGCTGTATAATCTGGGACGTGATTTTGGTCTTCAGTAATTACACAAAGAATATTTTTAACTTTGCAAATAATATAAATATAGTAGTGATGTGAGTGAGCAATGATAGTTATAGGTGCACAATCAGTTTGAAAGTTAGAAAAAAGGATGCATAGGTTGGTTTGAAATAAGTTAGATGTGCCTGAAATTTTAGTAATAGGTGAGGCAGATAATTTGTCAGTTTTTTTAAAACTATTTGCAGAGATTGTAAATCTAGTTTGTAGTTGTGTTTGGGATTAACCCATTGTTATAGAATAATTGATTTTATAGAATCAAGAGATAAAACTTGTATGATATTTACTATATAAGCAAGTAGAAATTGCTGGTTGTAAAGGATCTTTAAAGTAATGTTATTGTTTTTTATCATCACAATAATCTGGTTTCGCGTCAACTGAAAGAACACAAAGTGACTGAGGTTTGTTTTCATTAAGACCAACACTATGATAGTCTTTAGATCTAGAATAGTAATAGTTAATATTATAAGAGTCTGGCTCTTGAGAATCTGCTAAAGTAAGCATATTGATTTTAAGTTAAAATTTAACAAAGTTTTTTCTAGGGGTTGAAATAGAAGTAGAAAAACAGGGGTAATTCTATTGTGGCTAGTAAGGCTTGTGCATATAATCTTGTGTAACTATAGACAGTGTTGACCAAAAATGCAGTCATATAATATTTTCTATATGATTACTAGTCATAATAGTTATATAATAATAGTCATATAAATTTTGGTTATATAAATTATACCCTATTTTTATGACCAATATAACTATTAGTCATATAACTAAATATAACTTGGTCATATAATTAATATAAAAAATTATATTTTAAATATAAATTACTTTAGTTTATTATTTAATTTATTTTTAAGACAGTTTAATTTTTTAAAATACTGTTGACTCTCCCAAAACCAATTCTGTCAAAACCAATAATCTGCAATAAACAATTAAAATTTAATCTATCATATTAGTTCATAAGTAATATCTGATAATTCTGTCATTTCTGATATCCAATAACTCATTTAGATTATAGTTACATAGGATTCAGCCAATCAAATCAATACTGGTATATATATATTGTTATGATTCTATTATATGTTTTAGCCAGATTTAGCAATAATCGTATACATAAGAAAAAATTAAAGTAGATAAAAGCAATTGTAGCGCAGACAACTTTATTATAGCAATTAATTTATAAAATAAAAAAATAAGTGTGCTCGTATGTCTCTTCTTATCAGTTCAAACAAAGTTAATTTAATGTTTATATTATCCTGACCCAAAATTTTAAAAATCTCTTTTTTTACAATAATAATTGTATAAGAATTACTTGAGCCAGTTTAGAAAATGGAGTAATAATGGAAAATTTCAAGATGAATCCTTGAGAAGGTCTGATTAGTTAGATCTAAAACTATAAAGTTACGCATTCATTTTTATCTACTTATTGAAGAATTATAATTTTTGATTTTTTTGGATGATTTGCACTATATTTAAAAATAAAGTTATAATTAGAGTTTGAAACCAGTTTTATTTTATATATGTTCTAGCCAATTACAACTGATTTTAATATACCAAAAATAAATCTGATTCCAACTCTAGTTATGATATCATATTCGTATTTAGACAAAAAGTTAAAAAATAAAGGTTTGAAATATTTTGTAATTAAAAAAAGAAATAACTTTATACGTATGTATGTAATTTTCCATTCTTGAGGTATTGGGCATGATTTTCAGAATGTTTTATATATGACTAATCCATTTTTAATCTTGCTATTTATAGATTCATTTAAACCGATTTGAAGAATTCTTAAAATTCAAAAAAAGTTTATCATTTTTCTGGATCTTTTTGCAACTACTGTACTATAGTATTCCTATCCATTATCTATTTATCCATTAAATATCTGTTATCAGTTATCTGAAGTATCTGATCCAAATTTATCAGATATCTGTTTACAGCTATTATTATAATTTCTGAAACACCTGCTCATTACCTAAAATCTTTTTAGTTGTTTGGTAAATTATCTAACTCTTCAAAAATTACATCACTGCCTTCAGACTGAAGATTCAAAGATAGTGATATAGTTTCTAGAAAGTTGGATAATTTATCAAATGATTAAAAAGATTTCAGATAATGAGCAGGTGTTCTAGAAATTATGATAATAGCTGTAATATTGATAATTATCCAAATATCTGTTAGGTTATCCAGACATTTTGATCTGTTTATCTAATATGGATTATCTGGATATTCTGATCTGTTTATCTAATATAGATTACTCAGATAATTTAAATGAAAATAGATTTATCTATATTGCAACTCTACTGTATATACTAACGAGCTATAGCATAATTAGTTATACCCTAATCAATAAATTAACAAATTAAGAACAAAGTTATAATATGTACCCATAATATAAATCATTTTTGATTGTTTGATCAACAACGAGCTATATATGATTCTCTCTTAATTAGCAATTTTAAAGTTAACATTAGGCCTAAGATTTGCAAGTTTAGTATCCTTTCTAATTTCATATTAATGATAATCTTTGATGTAAAGATAAACCATTCTATTAGTATTTTTATTCTTGGCTAATTTGGCTCAACTATTTTGCTATAAGGTTGATCTAATTTAGATTAGTATTTGCTAGTAGATTATTGACATATTCTATCAAATTTGATTAATCCAGATAGCTGTATGTTGTATACTTCCAAAAGATAAAATGTTGAGTTTTTCAGGAAAGAATATAGTTTTTGTAAAAGGGTTCTGATCCTATCTTTTATAGACTATCAGAATAGAAATTATATATTATAAAACTAATTTTTGAACATCTGTTATTTGAATTTTTTGAACAATTTAGTTAGCCAATTATTATGTTTGAATGACACAAATTAGCCATTAAAAAGAAAGAATTTAAAAAATATAAGTAAATTTTTTAATCCAGATATTCAAATTAGTTGAATGTAGAATCAGAACATTATTTGTAATTTATCATTAAGACATTAATTTTCATATAAAAACGAACAATGTATTAGTATATAAGTTTTTACAGCTACAAGTCACTCTTGTGCTGGTTCTACCTGAAATTCTAAAAGTTATAATACTGACCAAATTAGCCAGTATTATAAAACCGGATAAAATTCACCACCTAAATTTATTTCAGATTATGTGATATGATTTTAATAAGCACTGTTTTATTGTTCATTTTTAAGCTAAAATATGATAAAATGATGCCTATATTATATGATCTGAAAAAGATTTGGGTAGTAAATTTTACTCAGTTGTATTATAGCTAACTGTCTTTCAGGATTTTAGGCTTTTAGAATATTTAGAGCAGAGACCTTATATTAAAATTTACTATCACTAAAAGTGCTAAAAAAAGAAAGAACTGTTATGCAAAATTAAACAATAACTTATAGTTATAAGAAATATAGTAACAATAAGAACAATTAACTACTTTAATTAAAAGAATAATAATTGCTATTACTAATTCTGCAATTTGATTGGCTGATTTTTGCCAATGATTATATAATGTTTTCAAATCTGATAACCTCCCAAAACTAATACAGAACTAGTCCACCATATATACTGGTTTTAAAAAAGCCAACAGTATTTTTAATATTAGGTTATAAAGTTATAATATTTTTTTTATAATCAAATGACTTATAACTAGTTATATAGATCATATAGGTCATAAAAGATCATAGTCCAACACTAGTTACAGGTTCTATAACCTAATAGAATACAGTCTGCCAAGTCTGCCAAATACATTTTTTATAAATTCGAATTTTCATCATCAGTGGAATTTGAACTCTGGTCCTGTTGCTTGGAGATGCGACAATTTGCCAACTTCACTAAGTTGCCATACTCTCTATTTTAATCTTTTTACTAAGTGAAAGATTAGATCAAAGATTATATAAAAAAAATTTTTTAAAAATTTTTTATAAAAATTTTTCATATAACCTTTAATTTAATTTTCATTTAATAAAAAGTTTAAAAAAACAAAATCGGCAAGATATAAAATACATAAAATTGTGTGCTAAACAAATTTGCTTTTTTTTTTTTTAATATTAAGGTGATCACTTGGGGTCTGGCACATTTATTAACTTCAGTTGCGAATGCCAGGGCAGCCACAGAACCACCTCTGACTTTGTTATATTAATGAGGATACATTCTAGCTATACCTATATCTTTTGAGCATTTAATTAAGTAGTTCCCTATTACTAAGTACTACACTAGATGCCATACCTATAACCCACTATTACTTGAGTAACACAATTAAACTTAGTGCCATCAGATATTCTCCCAAAGAAAAACTGCTGCTAAGGCTTTTTAGGACTAATTTATCCTCGTGATAAACCTACTAGAGCAGCCCATATCCTATATATATATCATCTAGATTTTTGGTAATTTATGCCTAGGCTGAAACCAAGTACTTGCGGTATCTCTTCGCTACCATTACCTACTTCTTGCACTTGCAAAGTTTACTCAGATTCTAGCACACACTTTACGGACTAACACCAACTTTCCTTTATTAACAGTATCCCAAACTCCCAATCCAGATAGCCCGGAGAGAAACCAGTAGCATCTTCTTGGTATTCTAATTAAATCCTTTTTTCTTGTTTATATGAGACCACCCCATATACTTGCGGTCTGGTTAGTATTAGTGTCTTGCCAAACACCCAGTCCTCATCCAGTTTATTGCTGGTGTCTGATCACTGATGATTATCCTTTACATAGTACCATCAAAGATCTGTGCTACCTCTCTACTCGAGACTTGCCAAGTAGGATTCCATATGCCTCAGCTCTTAGATTTACACAAATGTTTCACTTAGGTTTTGTGTAATTTTTGCATCACACTATTGTTTTACATCCTTCTAGTACAAGCTGGTATGACCAAGACTACAGATCTGATAATCTATCAGATTACACACAGTCTGCTATAACACATTCCTTAAATTCGAATTTCATCACTGGTGGGATTCAAACTCTTGTTCTGCCACTTGGGGTTGACAACTTCACCACTTTACTAAGTCGCCACACCTGCTAAACAAATTTGCTTAAGAGATCAGAACAGATTATCTAAGTAGAAAAAAGTTTTATATAAAAAAACTGCAAATTTAATATTAGTACATAGTAAACTTTTTTTTCCTAAGATAACCTTTTTTACTTCTTAACAGAAAGTTGTTCAAAATATAATTTTATATATATTTATTATTTTAAAACTTTAAATTTTTCCTTTTAACAGAGTTATATTTTTAAATTATATTAAAATTATAAAATTTTAATTTAGCTTAAAACATATTTTATTTTTCTTTTGTTGATATATTTATTCATAAATTTTAATTTAAAGTTAATATATAAAGAAAAAAATATCATAGCTTTAAAATAAAAAATTTACATCGAAAGTGTAGTAACTTAGAGTAGTAGTTAAGTTGTTACCCCCCAAGTGGCAGATCTAGAGTTTGAATCCTATCAAAAACATTTTAAAAATTAGGTCTGTGTATTGATAAAAATTATTCAATGATCGGTTGGGTATATTATCTGTAATCTTGGTATTACCATCTTAAAATAGAAGCTCTTGGGTGATTTAAAACTAAGGAACTAAAATAATTAAAACTTATTTGGCAAGACTTGAGCAAGAAGGTAGTAAAGTTCTTTAATTAGTAATTCGCTAGTCAACCAAAGAAGATCTGCAAATTTTTATAAATAAATTTTACTATTAAGTCAAATGTAGAATGCACTAATCTAAACCTTTTTTTTTACTAAGTAAATTACTCTTGGGCTTAT